TATATCTATATATCTATATATCTATATATCTATATATCTATATATCTATATATCTTTATATCTATATATCCATATATCCATATATCTATATATCTATATATCTATCTATCTATCTATCTATCTATCTATCTATATATCTATCTATCTATGCTATTCCAATGCTTTCTATTTCTCTTTTAGGGCTTTGCAATGTGCCTGCTAAGCTACGAGTACCATGTGCTGCATCCCGCCTTCCTGGTCCACAGTCCTGGCATCAAGAATTCCACACGTAGTGCGGTGCGTGCCAAATATGCCTCTGAAATGACCAGGTTTATTAAAAAGAAAATCGAGCCCGAGTATCGAGTGCTCTACGGAAAGAACAAGAAATGCATGACGTGATCCAAGTTGACATATCAAATAGTCTAAGCCAGTCAGACCGATATGCAATTGCCATGCAATCAAGTGATAGCATTTATGAACTAAGTTTAACTAATCTAAGACTTAAATTAGAAACTCAATAGCCAAAGAAACTGCCTTTAGAAAAATAGATGTGAGTCCTCGAAAGGCACACAAATTGTTATAGATGACACTTTGACATGGTAGCCATAGCTTTAACTTGTTCCATCCGAAGTTATGAATTTATAAGTTTAAGGAATTCTTTAATCTACAGAGTATTTACACATGTATTCGATTGTTCAAGTTCGGGATTGGTACTACAGGAGAAAACAAAAAAATAAACATAAAAAATAAAATATATATATAAATACTACATTTCCTTTTCGTAAGTATAAAAATAAAAATAAATTATTAATAAGAATAATATTTAAATTTAGAAAAATTAACTTATAGACCCTTCCAAACATTATATTCATATAACTGTCATTCTTGTGAACCTATTTATATATAAACTACTTTGCTCTTGCATTACCTGAATTATAATATATTTTTAATTAATTTCTTTAATATTAATAAAATCAATCTTTAATTAATTTAAATAGTAAAATATAGTAAAATAAAATCCGTACAGAAAACTACAGAAAAGCTTATTCTTTCTTAAATATTTTATCCATTAATTATTTATAAATCGCTGTATTTAAATTATATCCTATCAATTTTAATTCTTGACGTCTGTCCTGCATTAAGATCGAACTCATCGTTGACTTACCGTTCCATTAATCGATTGAGATTCATAATAACTTTTAAATTGCTCGGCATTTTTTCTGTTTTCTGGTCTCTGTTCAACTTTTGTATCTGGCTTTATTTTGTGCAGTCTGGCAACGCTGTAAGCGAGTCAAGTTTGAAGTTCTTTGCTAAAAGCTTTTAGCAATGAAAGATTGCGCTTTATAGTCACTAGATGGCGCTTTCAGACGGAACGTTTCCATGCTTGTGGAATATAAGATTTTTATAAGACAAATAAGTGTAAAACATATATATTTTTTTTAAAGTTAGAGTTGAACAATAATTTAAAAATTTATATAAATAATATGTTGCAACTAAAACAATATATAGAAAAATAAATAAAATCAATTAGGTTAGAGTACACCGTTGACAGAAATAAAAATATGATATATATAATTTTTTGTTTTTATTGTTCACACATTGCAGTTTCAGCTTAAACTAAAATTTATTAATACCATTATGAAGTAAAATGTCAGACAAAAGTTCACGACTTTGGAAATATTTATGAGCATCAACATCAGCATCTGTCAATCTCTCATCAGAAATATGTTTTATTGTGCTTAATTTCCACCATTTGTGTTTACATTTATCCGCTGTTGGTGTAGAATGAATAGCATTGGGATAGTTCACTGTAGTTGCATTAATAACGGGATTCAAAGGATCCGAGCCATAAAACTGTTGATATTGTTTACTTCTCACAAGACTCATAATTTGCTCAAAGGCAAGCAAAACGAAGAAGTCATAGACAACGAAAACTAAAAAATAAAAATAAAAAAATATATATATTATATACTAGGAAATAGAGAAAAAGAACGAGAGAGCGAAATATAGAGAGAGTGAGAGATGGCGTGTGAGATAGACAAGGAGTATAAGATAGAGAGAGAGAGAGAATACGCACTTGCGTAAGCAGCTGCCGTCACAGTTAAGACTATTAACTTTTCCAGACTAACGAAATGCCGAATAATTCGAAGAAACAAGACAGTAATTCCAATGATTTCCACGATAAAAACAAATTCAAAGAAAGCCAAAGGCAGAACAAAATAACGTTTCAGCTGAGCAAAAACGAAGACAGAATGAAACAATTTGAAGAGTTGAAAGTATATTTTACAGATAATCCATAAGCTCACGTTATAGGCACCATAGCCGGCGACAACGCATGCGATTCCATGGCCAATGCTATAGAGCTGCAGGAAAAATGTTGCTATTTCTGGATCTAGAAGATAAGAGTGTAATATATGAAAGTTATACTTGACTATCGATATCTAAATATTTTGTCATTGATGCTCAATGAGAATGTCATCAAGAAAAAAATGATTATATTATATACAAATTATGATTTTTTATTATATTTATAAGTAACAGATTTTCAATTTAATTCACAAAATTTCTACTTACAGTGCTCAAAAAAATTGATCGTATCTCGCACCATATAATAGCTGGCTCGATGGCTCAAATTGTCATTAAATTTAGAAATCAGCGAGAAGATAAAACCCAATCCTTGCGTGGTAAATATAGACATGAGTATGATCGTTTTTAGCTGTTAAAGAACGAAAATTTAATATAAATATAAATAGATAAACATAAATTTGTTATGCCCAAACTTAACTCTAAATACATAAGTATTTATTAATTTTAGAACAATTTTAAAGCTTAGAGGAAAACATATTACACGGATCAGCTAAAAATTGAAAATATTAAAAAATACATAAGAAATAAAATATACAGAACTTATTTTTGGTGAATCTGTTATATTTAGATAAAATGTCATATGTTTTTAAAAAATATGTAAAGAACTTAAAACAAATAAATCATATACAAATTAATCAAAGCATATAAAAAGTAATTAGAAATATTAAATTAAAGAAAAACTGGGGCTCAACAATAAATTTTTTATTATACATTTAATTTAATCAATAAATTTATTATTATAAATTGAATTTCTAAATTCTAAAAAATATATTTTTACTCTTTTTATTAGTATTATATATTTATTTATGTGTATGTATTCATATATTATATTTACATTTTTTTTTTTTTAATATTTAATTTCGTTTTAGGTAAATTTTTCCACCAAATCCAAATTTTCAAAAAATACATATATAAACAAAAAACTTTAAATTCATAAAATAATATAAGATGAATATAATATTAATGATAAATAAATAAATAAAATAGAAACAAAAAAAATTACTGGTAAATCAATATAAATAATTATTATTTCTTAATGTAAATAAACACTGTCGAGTCTACTTTACTTTACTAATTAATTTTTTACTCTACCATTTATTTTTCTTATTTACATAAATATATAATTTAAATAATTAAGAGCATCAACAGACCAATGCGAAAATGCTGATAAGGATAACGCCCAAGCGCACTGATGCACAGAAGATGTAGGTCTTCATGAAGAGCATACTGGAAAGCAACTGAGAGTAGCTTCTCAGGCGGACTTTGGAAATCCCTGTGAACTCCATGACGTCCAGCAGGTGAATGAAAAATTGTGACCATTCGCCTTGCATTACGGACAAATTCGATGCGTGTTATGAAAGCGAATAGTAAAATATGCAGATAGAAATCTCAACGGCTGGAACATGCTTTGTCATTTAGCCAGTCCATTGTCAGCTCGTAGCTCTTTCGAGGGGTAATCGAATCGTGGGCTCATTTGGATGGCCAGCGCTGTGCCAGTTAGTTGTCTGCCATGAAATATGGCCAGCGATTTAAATTAATAAAGCCCCGAAAATGTTGTTTATGGAAAGCTATTTGTGCTATTGCTCTGTGCGTCTTGGCGTTATGAGTGTCGGTGTTCTGAGCATTGTAAGTGCAGTTAATTCCCCGGACATATAGGCATGTATGTGAGGCAATGGATGATACATAGTTGCTTTTTGCAGATCTTTTCGATAACGCTCAGCACCGTCTTCTTTGTGCGCGGCGCACATCTGTTCGATCAACTTATCGACCTGCTCGAAAATGACTCACAGTATAAATCGAGCAATACTGTACGAAAACTCATTAACTGGATACA